ATCATGGAGCCAGTGAAACAAGTCTGAGCACCTACTGTGTACCAGGAGCAGGGATGCTCCTGTTCTTCCTTTCCAGTCTTCCTATCTCCACACTGGTTGGGGTCCATGCTTTCTGCACCTGCTAAAGTGCCAGCTCCTGATCCTGACCCTGTTGTAGTCACTGCTGCTATGGCAAACTCAGAGAGCCTGGTGTTGTCCCTGGTCCCTGGGAATGACAATGGTGGTCTTACAGAGCTCCCAAGAAAAGAACTCAAGCTACAACAGGGGAACCTGCCATACCCAGCCCCAACACCCCAGTGTGGAAGTCTGGGAATCTTCTGGAAGAGAAACTGTGAAGGCTGTTTCCTGAAAGATGGGGAGGAGAGGGGCTGATCAGAGGGCAGATACTAAGGTAGGAACACCGGGCTGAGGACTTAGGCTTGACCTAGGGGCTTCTGCAGGTCTTTCAGCATGAAATGTTCAGGACATAGTAGAGAGAAGGGGTTGCCCAGCTGTAAGGAGAGGGCCAGCAAAGGAGCTGGAGGAGCTCAGCTGATGGAGGGCTTGTCTGTGCAGAACCAGAAGTGGAACTCATGTCGGCTGCTTCCCTGCACCTGGCTCTCCAGACTGGGCCAGTGTGTCCCAAAGTGTGGTTCCCAGAAGCGGGTGCTGTTGCAGACTTTAAGTCCCAAGGCAGCTCCACGGCTGAGAGGGTTTGGGAAACACTGCTCCCAGTGCTCTGCAGTCATAATCCCTGTGAACAAGCTAAAGGTTCTGAGAAGTCTCAAATTCTTCTCTGTGCAACCCAGTGCTCCCCAAGCACAGAACACATATGCTTACACCCCAAAGAACGGTCTGCAAGGCCCCGGGTGTACCGGGATGCCTGCCTTGGAAGCACTGTGCTCTGGGACCTGACCCTGCAAGAGGTCTAAGGAGAAGACACGTCAGCAATTGTGCAGATATCACAGCCTTGAGGGACCACTAGTGGTGGGGTGGGAACATGTTCGTGGGCCTCCAAGGAAGGGCAGGCTCAGCTTTGCTCTTTCCTGTGGCTTGCAGCTATTAGCCTCCTTTTTGCCTCACCTTCCCCATCTGTGAAGTGGGGAAGATAGTGTGTTTTTCAAAGATGTGGACATCAGTGCAACAAAGCACTAAGCATACCTAAGCAGTCAGGATGTCCTGACTGGGGAGAACCCCAGCAAAAAGAATCTGCATTGGGCCAGTGCTGGGGCAACTGGCTGGGATTGAGTACCTACCTCCCTATTCCTCTGACAGGAACATCTGTTTTTAGAAATATAGGGGTGATGTGGAAGAAGTACTGGCTGTGTAGTCCCGTCCTTTTTGTTTTTCAGTACTGGAAATTGAACCTGAGGCTTTTGCACTGAGCTACATCTTCAAGCCTCTTTTATTTTTTATTTTGAGACAGGATCTCACCAGGTTTCCCAGGCTTGAATTTGCTGTCTTCCTGCCTCAGCCTCCAAGTGCTGGATTACAGGTTTGCCCCACCACACCGGGAAGCCCTTTCTGACTCACTGTGAAGCAGGGACAAACTTGTCTCTTTGGGTAAAACATGTGTAGGGGGTGGAGTTGAGGCTGCACACACACCCACTGTGTAAAAAAAAGAGCAAACAAGTAGGCAGTAGAGTTATAAGGCTATCAAGTTCTTTATTAGCTAATATGATGCACCTATTTTTACCAAAGAGGAAACTGAGGTCCCAGTAGCCCTGGGGACTGGCCCTGGGGAAGGGGATGGACACAGACAGGCTGGCAACCCAGTTCCTGGGCTCCTGGGCACCAGGCAGGCTTGAGACCGACTCAGTGACCTGAGCCAAAGAGAGAGCATGTTGGGCCAGCTAAGTAGGGTGGCTCTGCGTGCCCGTGCCAGGCACATTCTCAAAGCCTCTTTCCTTTCTCCTGCCTCTCAGCTCTGCCCAGAGACTCTAAGGGCTAAAGACGATTTCCCAGAGTTCAGCAGATGCCCTGGGGGTGACAGCTATCAATTTTCAGCTCTAGCTGGGGCAGGGCTGTCCCTGGTGGGCACGTGAGCTAAGCCCAGCCAATCCCGGGACCCTGACAAGTCCCTGGCTCTGATTGGCCACACACACCTGAGCTCCAATGTACCTCTAGGCAGGGCTGCAATTAGACCTCTGGGAACCACGAGGGGAGCAGTCACTCCCTGACCTACTCCGGGCTGTCCTGTGGCACCAGTCCACAGGGCTAGCTGCACAGCCACCTTGCAGATGGGTGCTAGGCTTGCAGGGAAGATAGACTGTCCAGATCCAAGTTCTGCTCTGAGGAACCCCAGTCCACCGGTAGTCAAGACGCAGAGTGGGAGTGGAGTGCAGGTGTGCACGGCCAGACCAGGAAATCCTGCTCTCCCGGCCCCTAGACCGTGCTCTGAGGCCCACCTCCCTCGCGCTAGAGTCCAAGGGCCTTTGCAGTTTAAAGGCTGCTGAAAGGGATGAATGGCAGATGGGGGCTGGTTTGTGACTATTCTGGCTCTGTGAACTTCTGCTCCGAAAGCAGCTGGGGTCCGGGAGGAGCTGGCCAGAAGCCCAGGGAAGAGGGTCAGGTGTTGGTTCTGGGTGAGAGTTGCTGTGTGATCTTCGGCAGGCTATCTTTCCGGTTGGACGTTTTTCCATCTGTAAAACAAGGGGTTTGGAGTAATTTGTGTCTGAAGTCCCTTTTCGCTTTCCTGAAAGGCTATATGTAAATTGGAGTTCCATAAGCCTAATCAAAGTGGCTCTCCCCAAAGCAAGGAATCTGTCCGCGGAGCGCAGCCCTTCCCCCGCTTCCGAGTTTGCCACTGGGGACAGCCTGTGCTTCCTTGCCACCCGGTTGGCTCAGAGCCGGGTGGACCTGTGGGTCGGAGTCCAGCGCCCCCTGGTGGCGGCTAGGCGGGCAGGCCGCTGCAGATCTTGCAGAGGCCCGACGGCTGTGACTTAGGGTGGCGCCGCTGCGGGAGACCTGACTGGGGTTCCGTCGTGGGCTGAGCCACGGCGCAATTAATTACCAGCTGCTGGGAATCCTTGTCGCCCGCTTGCGGTGACTCACCCAGCAGCGAGGCTCACTTGCCGAGCGCGGGGGCCTCTGTTTCCAAAATGAACTGGGGAGAGCTACTGCTTTGATGGGGCTCCCTACGCGGGTGCCCCAGGGTACTCGCACATCCGGCGGAGACCCGACTTCCCAGATGTAGCCCACAGCCTGGACGCTCTTTCCCAGTGGGTTCCCAGGAGCCCTCGAAGTGGGATGGACAAGGGGCTGTCTCAGGGAGGCTTGGGTCCCAGACTCCGCCAGCCCGAGTCCCAGGATCTCAATCATGGTCTGAGGGGCGAGCCAAACGGGGCAGGGCTCCCTCAAGAGCCGTCTGATTCTCCAGCTTTCCCCAGTCTCCTTGGCCAACCCACTGCACCAGACCCTTCGCCAGTCCCCCCGGGCGGACCCCACCCCGTCGTCTCCATCTCTCATTGACAGGGGCCAGAGGAGACGGCATGGCCAGGGAAGAACGGCCCCTGCGGTCCAGGGCTTGGTCCCACCCGTTCAGAGCTCCACCTCTTGTAGGGGGGATTCATGAGGGAAAGCCCCTCAATGACCCAAAGGGAGGGGAGGGAGAGGACCCCCGAGGGCCTACAGAAAGCCGGTCTCCTTTTGGGGGCGCAAGCTACTCTTGCGCCCCTGTCAAGTCTATGAACCAGCTCGTCCCTAGAGGGGGTGCCGCCTGGCGGGAGGGCAGGACTGCGTTGGAGGCGCACCCCCGCGCCCAGCACCGTGGGGACTCAAGGAGTGCGTCTCGGAAAAGCAACAGGAAGGGTTCTGGGTGGGGAGAATGCGGCATACTCCTGTGCTGTCCCGACTTCGCTATCCTCCGTGTTCTCAGGGTGTGGGGGCGGGAAAGGCTCAGGTTGGCAGGTACGGGCCACCAGGGTACACCGTTCGAGGGGGGCTATGGAGACTCTCGGGACCCCATCACTCCAGGAGTCAGTAACCGCGGCTGCCGGCGGCAGCGGCGGTGGTGATGGTGGCGGTGGTGGTGAAACCTCGTGCCACGGGGCCGCGCGCTCCTAGGTGTCGGGGCCTCCTCCCCTCCTGCCTCTCACTCTCCCTCGACCTCTCCGCTCCCTGAAGCTGCAAGACTGCCTTCTTCTCGGGCCGAATCCCACTTCCCTCCCGCAGCCCCGCTCCCCCAAACTCTTCGCCCGCCAAGGCTTCATGCGCTCTCGGGGGAGAACGCTGGAAGGGCCCTAGCAGCCGCGTTTTTCCTCCCATCCCCCGCCCCGCCCCCACTCTGGCGGCACCCAGCCCTCCGCCGTCCCCCCACCCCCCTGGCGGCTTCGGCCGCCTCTCCTGGGCTCCCTCAGCGTGCGCCCTGCGCCGCGCTGGGTCTGCAGCGGGAGCTGCCACTGTCGCCTCGCCAGCTGGCTGGGGACCAGGCGGGAGGTGGCGCGCCCTGGAAGCTGCGGGAGAGAGGGAGGAGGGAGGGAGGCCCGGCCTCGGCGTAGCCTGGCCCCCGCCCCCCGCGGCCCTCCCGCTCGAGCGGGGCTGTCAAGCGCAAACACACACGCGCGCGCACACAGACAAACACATACACCCGGACTCCCTCCGGCGCACACGCACGCAGCGCCCGGAGCAGACCAGCACGGTGGCCGCCTCCTCGGACGCCCGGACACCGGAGGGCCGGGACCTCGCAGCCGCCGCTGCGCCAGCGCCCG